TGCCTTGAAAACTGCAAGGACTCGTCCAAGCAGTCACTGCAGGGTCAGCAATGACTGAGCGCAGACAAAAAAAAAAAAAGTGTGTTGATAGGTGATCAATAACCGAAGACACAAAGAATCCCTGATCTCACTATCTTAACTCTAGAATATTGGTATTTTCCTCTCTTTTTATAGTGTACAGTCTTCCCAGTGAAACTAATTAAAGTACAGCAACTCTTGATTGTTTCATAGTTTTATCATTCCTGCTCAGAATTTTGGAAATTTCCAGAATCTGAGTTTCAGGGTTAAATAGAAATTTGAGATAAGCAGCAGCAAAAAGACGGGAAAAAAGAGGAATTTGAATTGGGTAGTCTACCTGGGGTATGCTGGCTGGTAGGGTGTTGCCTCGTGAGCATCAGAACAAATGTAACATACAGGTAGTCCTTGACCTACAACATTCATTCAGCAACCATTCATAGTTATGACAGTGCTGAATGAATGGTGGTTACGACCAGTCCTCAGAGTTCTGGCCATCCCAGCACCCTCGCAGTCATGTGATTGCGATCTGGGTCCTTCGCAAGTGGTTCACACTTATGGCCAGTTGCAGCACTTGCTAATCTTAAATCCCTTTTCTCTTTTCTCGCACATGTGTAGCCTGAGCAAATATCTTAGTGTTCTCTGTTTTTAATACTGTTTCTAATCAAAATTCTTCGTATGTGTTTCTCCTAACTATTCTGATATTGCCAAGTCAGCTTTGGATATTTGCATATCAACTTCCTTTGTGCTGGTTAATGACCTCAATAAAGTTTTTCAGTTTCTGTCTTGAGAATCCCATTAAACTGAAACATGAGTCAGGCTAGCCTTTCCCTTGTAGTCAATGGGCTGCTTATTATTTCAGGGTGAAAGAAGGGTTAGGGAGAGTGATAGAGTCTGCAGAATAGATCTTCCAGTTGTGGACTTAAAGAAATTACGGGATTCATAGTAACTATTGGCCAAGCTGATGATAGCAGTTGGAAACAAGAACATTTGCTAACTGGCTTCTGAAATGCAGAGTATACAGTTCTCTTCACCATGCCAACAGGGCAATTATAAATTCAAACATAAAGCCATGCTTTAGTAAAAGAGGTTGTAACACAACAGGTATTAGTTATTAGCCAGTTATGATAAAAGAGGCAGTTCCTTTTAGTCGTCTTGCATGCTACATTTTATAAATCAGGCATTCTCTTCAACTGAGTATGAGGAAATGGTGCAGTCAGTGCAGATAGTAATGAGCTAGCTAGATCCATGGTTTGGACCTTCCTTAGTTGGGAAGAAGTGAAGAAATTGGCACACCAGACTTCTGCTTTGATGCTTGCAGTTTATTTAAGAAAATCTTGCTTTGCTTCACAATGAAATATAGGTTTAAAATGTATTTCAGAAGGATGTTGTAAGGAATTCCACATGAAAGTAGCATTAAAATATTAAATTGTTTCCCTCAGTTCCAATCAGAGGTGGAATCAGAACATTTTTAAAAGCAACGTGACTGCCCTCTGTTGGGCGACCTGGGCCATTCCAACGTTGTTGGCATGCATTCCTTATCACACCCATTCAGCCGGGCTAGTAATGAAGGAGGAAGGAGTCCATGGGACAGCAAGTTGCCTAACCCGGCGTTTACAGAGCTGCATTGCTTGGCAACAGTCATTCCAAGATGTTGTGTTTTCAGCTTCCTAAATGCAACTAACATGTTGGTTACAGATGCAAGAGTCAAATTTAGTTATGCCAAAGAATCATAAGAGTTCTTATGTTTCCTAGCTAGAAAAGTTATTAAATAACTTTAGTTAAAGCACAGAAATACATGGCTAGAGCAAGAGGTTTAGAAGAGAATTTCTCTGACAGCAAATTAGCATGACACTTTGGGGCTGGAAACAAGAATTTTTTTTTGCAATGGTTACACTTTAAAAAAAAACGTATATACTTCTGTTTAGGCCCTTGTGAAGCGTATATGAGCATAAGTTAAGTTCTACCTTGAGAAGAACTCTGTGTGGGTGGTACTCAGGAGATCTAGCTCGGTGGCCATCCATGGAATGACATGGCTGCAGATAACCCTTGAGCCAGTTCTCCATCCTTGCCTATTGTTATGTGCTCCAATATGTTGCTCTTGAGTATCTTCCTCTTTATATTGGGGTAGGCTATGAAGGATTAATTTTGACTTGTAAAATTAGATTTGTCCAATTGTGAGGTAATCTACAATGCAAAGAAATAACCGTAATTGATTTCATTTTTCTGAAAAGTTAATTGCCTCAAATTCTCACTTCATGCTATTTTACCTTTATTTGATCTTATTGGGTGTTTATATAGACAACCATTACAATCTGGACCTTCCACAGCACCAATTTTGTTGGGGCCGTAACATTACAAGTTTAAGATGTATGTATTCAGAAAGTCCACGATCTGTAATAACAAATGAATGCAATCTAGTAAATAATATTTGAGGCTAATGGTACAGTGGTACCTCTACTTACGAACTTAATCTGTTCCGTGACTCTGATCGCAAGTCGAGT